GCCATTTACTGACTAGTGTAAATCCAGCATAACAGTAGAAAATGTGTATGTATGTATGATATGTATTTACAGTATGTAGCCCTGGCGGGAAAAAGTGTTATTTTTTAATCAACTAATTGGAAAACTACTTTGAAACAAATACAGTTAGTAAATGTTTTTAAATTTGATACTTACTATTATTACTCAAATAAGCAATTTGTGTCTTCGGAAGTATGAAAAAGTATCTGTGAAGTGCAGAACGAAAGCGTATTCAAACGAAACATACTGACTTTGAAGTTGTTTAAGCCAAATGCGTTTTAAAGTAATTGAAATCAAATGCAGAGTCGGATAATTGACTGCTTCCTAAATAGGACATCGTAATGTTAAATAAATCAGTTCGGTGCAGGGAAAAAAGTGAAAATTTCAATTAGTTATTATTGAATTGAAATTACTTTCAAATTAACTTAATTTCCTGCAGGGAAGTGACTCATTTCATTCAATACTAAAAATATGCATATAAATGGTAATACATATACATATCTGCATGCAACGATTCATGCATACATACCATGTATGTATATGATTTTCCATGCCAAAAATAACTTCAGAATTCCTTATCAACTCAATGCACATTTGCTCATACGTACTCATTTATATTCATATTTATATGCATACATATATTATATATATGTATATACATATTCATATTTATGTACATTGTATGCATGTATGTGTGCAAGTATAAATTTATGTAAATCGTTTGAAATCGAATAGCATGACACCATTTAATCACTATCGCGCGAACTTCAACTGAGTCACATGTTTAATGGTATGTACTATATATACATATACTAAGTTTGAATATATTATATTTTGATAGTTTGTCGTTGCTTCTAAGATTAACACATTTTCAATAGTAACATTTTAATTGAAAGTTCTTCGCTTAACATGTAAGTATTTATAGACTTTTTTAGACTTATGTAGCTCGTTACTGTCGTAATGCGCTGGATTTTGGGGGTGCATGAAATTTATCGGAGCTCTACCGCTTTCTACCGCTATTTTTTAGTGTATAAAAATGCAACACGTGGCATTATTTTAATCTACTGAGCCTAGAATGCAATTTTTTTGTGGTTTCTTTACAAAAGTTTAAAAACAAAATAACAAAAATCTATTTTCCAGTATATTATTGGTTTATTTGAAAGAGCAAACACTCCTATTACTTTTGGAACGCGATTAGCGAACTTGGTGCGCTAAAGATCATCCAAAGCTTCAATTTCCTGCCACAAAAAATCGTTGGACCTGTTATTAAATCAAGTACAAAGATTGGTGTTGAGCATTTTTGTTTGCAATAAAGGAATTACTATGGTTGATGGTGCTAATAGTAAGTCAAAAATAGTTTGTCTGGGTTGATCAAAATTATGAGAAAACAAGTAAGAAAGTCTAAGTTCGGGCGAAGCCGAACATTAAATACCCGGCGCAAGTATTAAATATATGTTTTTTTCACCTTTCCGAAAGCTACCGCTACATGCTAAGCAGGTGTGTATCAATTTTGAGTAAATTAGCGTCGTTCAATTTCGAAATATTGAAGTTTCAAGCATATCTGAAATTTACCGTTATATGAGAAGCGGCCGTTATTTTAGTCCGATTTCAATAATTTTCAACGTTTTGCTTTTATGTGGCAAGCACAATAACCACACCGAGTTTGGTACAAATTGGTAGAACGGTTACCGATATACTTATATGTGATCATAAGTGGGCGGTGCCATGCCCATTTTCCAAAATTTTACCATAAAAGTATTTCTTGGTAAAGAATTGTTGCAAGCATCAATTTTGAATAAATTAGCTTCAATATTTACTGATTTATCGAAGATTTTGTATTTCTCTAAATTACCGTTATATGGGATGTGGGCGTGGTTATTGTCCGATTTTAAAAAGTTTCGGCGATTTTTTATGCTGTACCAAGGCCAACAACTGTGCCAAGTTTGGAAGAAATTGGTGCAGCGGTTACCAAGATATACACATGTAACCATAAGTGGGCGTGGCTACGCCCATTTTCCAAAAATTTGTGATATTCTTATTTTTCGTCTAAAAATGATTGTAAATATCAATTTTGAGTGAATTATCTTCAGTAGTTACTAAAATATCGCAGTTTTCGTATTTCTGGAAATTACCGTTATATGGGAAGTGGGCGTGGTTAAAGTCCGATTTCGCCCATTTTCAATACCAACCTACCTTGGATTAAGGGAAATCTACATACCAAATTTCGTTGAGATATCTCAATTTTTGCTCGAGTTATCGTGTACACGGACGGACGGACAGACGGACAGACGGACGGACAGACAGACATGGCTTAATCGATTTCTTTTTTCATCCTGATCACTTATGTATACATTTGTCTATATCTATCTCGATTCGTTTTGGCTGTTACAAACAACCGTTATGTGAACAAAATTAATATACCGTTGTGCACAAGTGCGCTCGGGTATAAAAATTTATATGGCAAATTTAATAAGCCAACATAAAAATTTTTATTAGAGGGAAGTAGTCTGAACTCAATGGCATTTATTTCATATGCAGCTGAGTGCTCCCACTGAATTTTTTTTTAGACAAATACCAGGTAATACAAAACGAGAAGCTATCGACTTAAAAAAAATACACTGTATTTCAAGAAATCACTTAAATGTATGTATACTTAATATTCCAATATTCCAATAATACTATTTAAATAAACATTAGTACGGCACAATACTTACTATTCACATACTATCCGCATACTTCGAATCCACTAATAGCAACCGTGTCTCTCAGCAAACTCTTTCAACAACAACGGCTTCCGTTTGAAGAACTGCCTCTATTGTACTGCGAATCCACGATTGAGAGAATACAAAGGTTGCGCCGATCTCGGACCGCTATTCCTCTCTTAACGAGTTTGACAGAATCGTTGTTTGCATGACGTCACACTTGTGCAACTTGTTTACGTTTTCCTTGCAACATTCTTTCTTCTTCTTCCATTCTTGCTCACGTTTTGGCATTTCTCTCTCGCAATTGCACCAGTGTGACGTCACCCAAAAGTTAT